AAAACTTCTGCAAACTTTTTGATGTTTCAGTTACCCTGAGATTATAATAAAGTATACTTTTGTAGTCCGAAAATAAACAACGAAAAATTGTAACGCCGCTTTTAGAGGAGACGTCTGGCTTCAAATTTGTATACATAGACATTGGAAAATTCTTCGTATCTTCATAGTTTTTCTTTTAATGCCCCCTGTTCACGATTCCATTTCATTTTTAACTGCTAATCTTTGTTATAAAGAAGATTAACGTTTACGAGCGAGCTGTCAAGACGTTTTCATTGACTGTATTATTGCTTGAACTATCCCGTATCTATTGGCATATGGACTACTGTTCCAATGCCTTGATATTCACTGTGTTGCAATTTTATATTATTGATGGATAGTAGCCAGTAGTGGAACCCAGGACGTACATTTCATCATATTTGAGACTCATCAGCTGGATGAATGCGGATTTTAGTGAGTGGTTTGTTCCCACGAAGACTGGAAGCAGAAACCGATCGCTTCAAACACTAGAGCTTTACCCACTGGACCACTGAGTCATGATAGCTACTTCTTGTGCAATGGGTATAGTTGTTATGTTGTTGCTTGTATTACTCCGTCACTGACCGGACCAAAGTGGCTGATCTTTCAAGCTTTATAAGAACAATACCACTCACTGAGATGCAAGTATATCCAGTGGGCAAGTCCCAAATCGGATGAAACGCGAGTCCTGGGTCCCACTGCTAGCAGTTACCTATCAATAATATTTTAGTTGTCTGCGTAGAAGCATGATTTTCTGTATAGATTGATATTTGTTCATAACGAACCACCACAATTTGCATTCCAGTTAATTATTACTGTATTCTCAACATCACATAGTTTCATCTGTATGTTTCTGCTGTGAGCAGTCACTATACTATGGAAATGATCAGTAATATCAACCAGTGTTCACGTGATTCAGTCAGTCTCTTAGACCCCCACTTATCGACTGTAAAACTAAAAGTTGAAGATACATACCATTGAAATGGGATTCTGTTTCAGCCGTGCAAATAAATTTGAGAAGAACATTGAACTTGAAGCTAAAAGATCAGATTTCACATTGAAACCTGTAGAGTGTACACTTAATAAGGTAGGTATGCTTTCCCCGGATTTCTAAAAAACATCTTCATATGAATTATTTTTGAGCTTCCAATTACATAGGTTTGTAGACATCATTATATTCAACTAAAACATTGCATCGTCTGGGCTTCCATGAGTTTTCTGGGTTTTTGTTGGTAAGTTAAAGACCATTCAGTTAGATGCTTCTATGTGTCAGTGTGGTATTCATTACGGATTCATATAAGTTGAAGAACCAATTAAGGCCGATGAGCGCTTGACGGCTTGTTCATCCTAGTACAGAACTCCTCGGCAGTATGAACTCAATACCTTCCAGAAGTCAAGCTGAATGTCCTCAGGTCTCATGATGAAACGCGTTAGCCATTCAGGCACTGGCTCGGAAGTACTTATGGATACTACTTTAAGTAAATAATTCCTCACGAACCTCAAACTGGATTATGTCTGTGACTGAGTGATCCAGAGATTTTTAAGAAATGAAGGTAATTTCCTGAGTTGAAGCAATGCATCAACTTGTGAATCATTACATAACATTGAAGGCTGCCACACTCTACACTGACACATCAAAATACAAGATGACAAGAGCAGAGGTATAGGAAAGGAAATACTGTCATCAAAGTGCGTACAAGTTATTAGGAGAAGAAGGAATAGCAAAATAAATAAAATATGAAGACGGTTTGTGGATGTATATGTGCAACTGTCATTGATTTCAAGTCATACTCAAAGATTCCAGAAATAACGATTTTTTTGTTGTGCGAAACTCTACCGCGTAGTCTACTTTTTCCTACACGGTTTCGACTGACAGATACAGACATCATAGTGTAATCTTACATTTACGTTTGACCATGTCTAACATTTCTTCAGCCTAATCCTACTTCAACTCAAATTGCGCGAAGGGGTTGATAATGACTTCAGATAGTTAACACGTATCAGCAACCTGAGTTCATGAAGGTTGACAATCCAATTCAGTGACCTACATCTCTTGCCTAAAACTCTGTGCTTGACGTCCACTTTACCAACGTGGCGGTTTCATGATACAACAAATGCAACAAAAGTAGTACTGACTGGGTGCTTCAAGCTTTTTGAAATCTCCCACTTGCAATGGTTATGGTTAGCAAGCATATAGTAAGAGTGTGAGGACTGCTACGCAAAAATGCGACCCTTAGTAGGCAATGCGACTGCTCGCCACTACCATAGGCACCCTTATTATTGAGAGGGATCTGCATCTTGTCAACGCCCTCACTTAACTCAATCGTGTTATCTGAGTACTCTGGGTTGACTATGGAGTGTTTTGAAATAAGATCGATTTAAACACTCTCATGATAAATTTAAATGAAAGAAGAAAGGCGATATATTTCTAATGGACCCTACTCACTGGTTGAAGTCAATAACAACTAGAATGTATGCCGCCTTTTAGAACTTCAGTCTCGTAGTTTATTTCAACATTCTGTCTTGTAAGGTTATTAAATTATCTAGTGACTGACAGGTTGATTAGGGAGATGTTGCCTAAGTGTAAATCAGTAACACAGAAGGATGTTAAGGTCTGAAGGATATGTTTTGTGAACAGATAAGTTTCTAGTGTATAAATTTCCATGCTGAGCTAAATGTCACCCATAGAAGACATTCATGCAGTAGTGAATTTCGTGGCATGGTTTACTAGTTTACGCAATCAGTTCAACTAATGGAATTCAGATTTAAAGCATTCTCCACTAACAAAGATTTAGGTAAATGCGTGTTTTCAGTAGACGTCATACTACAAGGATGGCCCGATATATACATATGGCTACTGGTAGACTTCGATTCGATTCGACACCTAGTTTCTCAAACTATGTTGTGTTTGTAAATAACTCTTTCTTTTAAAAGGCAATCAAGTTTTGATGCTTAGAGGTTATGCAACCAATAATATACCGTTTAGATTGCATAATAATATAAGAGTGAATTTAAGGTTACCTTTTAATTCTCTTTGTTGTCATAACTAAGGATCGGTAGTCGATAATATGAACAAGTAAAATCAACCCGGACCGATAAAAATGTCAGTGAGTGTATGAAGCGCAGACTGACATGAATATCATAATTGTAAGTAATTCTAGGTAAAGGTAAACACTATGTGTTTGGTTAAGGTGACAAGTGAAGTCTATGGTTACTGACTCTTGCTGATATGGTTCATATTCCATCTGCAGGGTGCAAATACATCCACACCTTCTCCTCATTCTAAGCCTTATATCGCATTTCTGTATCTGCCTAATCCCTGATCTTCTAAGGTTTTCGATTTGCTTGAAGTCATGCTGTCACTTAAACCACTGCAAAGTAGTGGGAGAGCCTATATTGGTGCTGATTGACTGAAATTGTTCATTTCTGCTTCATCTTCCCAATTAGTACATTGAATATTCACATTCAGACATTGATAATAAAGACTGATTGAGCGAAGAAATATATTCCTTTTCAATTAGGTCTTAGTCTAGGGTTCTACACTAATAAATAGCTTTAAAACTGAAACATAATACAAATCAAGTCGTAGGGGGTTGGTGAACAATAAGAATAAGAATATTTGGGGTAGTCAATTGGATACATTTATAAGGTGCCGTATTTTAAGATATGTAGAAGAACAGAGAACAATCTTCAACCGACTAACATCTACGAATGTGCACCGCGATGCTGAGCCTCCTAGCTTGGTGGCCGATAGGATTCAGTCTGTACTCAGAACTAGACAATATGAAATTGGTTGCACTCCCCTGACCAATCAATACATGTAACCCAATCCTACAGGGCTGAATTGCTTCCCGAATAGCTCAGTGGTAAAGTCGTTGACTACAACACTAGGTGGCGTAGGTTCGAATCACAGGCGGGACATCTCTTCCTTTGAGGTTGCAGATACGCCTTGAAAACGAGTGCCAACAAGCACGAAACCTGGGTCTAGAGCATCGTGCCGATTGCCTCCAACCAGTTAATGCCAAAAAACCGATCGAAACGGTTCAGTATTCTGTCCATGCTATGGTAATTGTAACTAACGTTATAGAATGATTCATGCTGTTGGCATTAACCTGTTTCAAAACGAAAGGCTGGATCACTGGGGTAGAATGTAATTATATATTAGATTTGTTCATTTGATATGCAGTACATAATGATGCAGTATTATTTACCTGAAGACGTTTGAAGCATTAATTATTACTCTTAATCATACCAATATAATCACAAAACTTTCAACTTCTTATTGGTATAGTCGTGTCGCCTAATAATCTTTATTTTTATTGGTAGTAAAATGTTTCATCGTCCTGGTATGGGTGTCGCATCATTCCTATTACGTGTTGGGTGTAGATTCGTTGAACAAAAATTCAGTCACCACTCTCTCTCTCTCTCTCTGAACCTAATTACATTGGTTTCATCTCACCCACCATCTTGTTTGGTTATATGTTAATGCATTGCAGTTGTCGAGTTTCTTCTAGTTTATTGATCTAATTGGGGTCTCTCTTCGTATATTTCGCTGAATTCCTGTGTTTCTGCATCTAACTGTTGCCGGTCGGCTAGTTTGACGTATTCACTTGACCTCACGGTCATTACAAAAACTTTGTAGATTAGATTTTTTTTTGCATAATTGGTTCTGTTGGGTCCTTAATCCGACAAAACATAATTCTGAGTGAGTTTTTAGGTCTAAATGCCACCTAAGCATTCACCTGACACTAAGGACTAGACAATACGAAATTATTTGTCCTCCTGTGACTGAGGAATGCAAATATTTACAACGACAAAATAGGCTGTTTTATCCTGTTATTCAGATTTAATCAATGAACCAGGTTAACAGGCAGGTAATGTTTTCTATTCAACCCAGTGATAAACTAAGCGTCACTATAGATACCAACCGAAAACTGTGTGAAAAAAATGTTAGTTGAAAGTAAAAATAATATCAGTTGTTCTTTGAAGAAGCAGTTTTTATTCCCAATAAATCTTTTCCTCATTTATGTTCAATCCCATTTTCTGCTTCTTTCATATTCTTTCACTGCTAAGGTATAAATGTGATCAAATGTTTACATTACAATAAATAATAGGTAGTGAGCTAAAAATGAATATAAAAATTAGTTATCTCTAAGTTTCAGTATAATAATAATTAAGTTAATGATAATCTCTAGATATATGGTGTCGAGTAAGTATAAAGAGACACTCATAGACACCAAGAGTTTCCAATTTCAAAAGAACATCTTGTCAGAGTCACCAACTAAATTTTTATCAGAAGAAGATGAAGTTTACAATGAATCTACTGATCAATGAATAATTGTATCCTTATCTTTTCTTCAACAGTAAATGAAGACCATTTTAAAAACTCATTTTGACAGTCCCTCCATGAGTTTTCATCATTCTTATGCTCTCTCTGTTGATATGCACAATTGTGTGTAGATATTGCTTACTGGTTATCCAGGATAAGTTGAGTGGATGCTTTCATGTTAGAGGGACGAGTTATTGGCAAGTAAATAATTAACTAACTGACTGAACTACATATGTTATTATTCTTTTATACAAGTTTATTGATCATATTAACATGATTTTTATCATCATCACGATTTATTTTGTCAAAAAAGGCACTTGTACCAGGTTGACTGATGAATAAATTCTCCGTATGATGGAATCTTTCCAGTTCATCTCTACGCTTTAAAACTTTTTCACGTCTAACATGCTCTTTATAAAAATCTGCAAAATTATTCACAATTATTGGTATTGGAAGTGCAACCACTAGTACTCCACAAATACAACAACAGGCACCAATTAATTTGCCTAGAACTGTTCTTGGCAGCATATCTCCATAGCCAACTGTTGTCATTGTAATTGTAGCCCACCAGAATGCAGCTGGTATACTTCGAAACATTTCAGAATTTTCATCCTTTTCAACAAAATATACTAAACTTGAAAATAATACAACTCCTAAAGCAATTAACAGCATAAGTAGACCCAATTCTTTATAGGAACGTTTAAATGTATAACCGAGTGCCTGTAGACCAGTTGAATGTCTAGCAAGTTTAAATATACGTAGAATACGTAGAATACGAAATACTTGAACAATCTTTCTCAAGGAATGTAATGATTCATTATGATGTCGTGTTACAACTTCAATAAGTAATACATGTATATAGAAGGGAAGAATAGCGATCAAATCAATAATATTTAGAATACGTTTAAGAAATTTTAATTTATCCGGTGAACACCATAAACGTAGAACATACTCCAATGTGAACCATGATATGCATATAGTTTCAACGATATCTAAGATAGGATTATCTATTAATTCATTTGAAGGATGTTGTTCATCATCAAAAGAACTGGCCTCTTGATCACTAGTCATAGAATAGTTATCTTCACTTGATTTGTTATTCGTGGCATGTTTCATAGTTGTGTTCATTTGCATTTCTGGCATTGTGTTTAGCGTAAGACCGATTGTTGATAGAAGAATAAAGAAGATAGACACAATTGCGAAAAACTGTAGAATAAAACAAAGAATAAATAGTTCACTAATTTATTGACCACTTTGACTTTATTGCATAATAAAGAATTGTTAGATTTATAAAGAATATATCATGGACCGACATCAACTGAAGAAACAGTCGAAACCTGGGATCGCTGAACAGCTATTTCGTCCTAATATGGGATCACTCGGTAGTGCGTACCTATGACCCTGCCATGTGTCGCATCCAGGAGTACCAGAATCTAGTACCAGTACCTTACCGTTGAGCCAATGGATAATTTTATATGATGTACGTAAAGTTCTACATTTTCAGAATCCTTCACCAGTGAAATAAACTTCTTGATCTCGACATATTACACCGCAAAACGTATTACTACGCTCTCTGTTATTTAAAACTTTGAAAAGGGTCACATATGACTTACATGGTTAACGTTAGGAACTTATGTCTTCTAAACGACTGTAAGCTAGGCACTGCATCGGTTTAAATCTCTATGTTAGATCCATCGATCTGATAATGATTGTGACGTCCTAAATGAGCAAAGTAAACCCAGACCTTTCAATGAAATCTTTTTACATGACACAAAATACTTACTTAGTTTCAATGAATTTAGCTTTAAATATGTTTTCCTCTTACTGGGTTTTCGTCCATTCTTCCTGTGTTTCAATGCTATAACACATTCTGAAGTGACGACATAGTAGTCTATTTGACAATTTCTGCTGATTGATAGGCTATGAATGAAGAAACAACCTTTGTAGACCCATAACACTTTAACCGATGACAATGGGTACCGGTTACTCGGACACTATCTTCCCGTTACACAGCAATACTGCAAAAGGGGGCAAATCAACTCAAATATAGCTATTTAACTGGACCAATAACTGACAAGCTTACTATAGAAAAATCTTCTTCGCAGACAGTGACACAACATGTGACTACGGTTGAGGACGAATATTTAGTTCAAATCTTACGAGGAATGAATTCACCAGTAATATGTATTTCCATTTTTCCTAACAGATTTCACTCCCATTAGTTACGATAGTGGGATTATAAGCTGCATATTTTCAAGGCTCTTACGTATTCTCAAAACTGGTGTGTGAAATGATCAAATAGATTTGTGGCTGTGATGAAGGTGATGATGGTTGAACGTTCTCTGAGCTTTGTTATATTGTGGTGGATGTTTCACAGGTAGACTTCATGAAGTTAGAGCTGAGGATGTCATCAAGCCTGATGAGTAAGCGTCCAGGACAAAGCATAAAAGCTCAGAAAACACTGAGCTAAGAACAAAAAGCTTTACACCACTTGATTTTCTCTAATGATTGTTTAGATTTGATATGTAAGACATGTGAAAATAATGGAGAGTATTTGTAGCTCAGGTGGATGGTCTTGGTGGCATTGTGTCCTCTGAACTGGGTTGTTTAATCGTGAAGCTCTCATCGTCTTGCTACACGACATCATCAGTACTAACTTCAGTATGAAGTGACCTGTCAATATCTCTCCGTGAATGATTTAGTGGCTTGCTCTGATGATGTGGTCTGTGATTGGTTGTTTACTTCGATTGTTGTGTCATTGATTGTACAGATTTTCCTGTTGACTGTTCCTCTGCTTCATCTCTCACCTTTCTGTCGTTCATCATTTTTCTCGTTGGTTGGCAGATTGGGTCTATGTCTATATATCTGTTAATTGCTGACTGATTGACCTGAATGCCAAGCTTCCAGAAGTTCTCTGACATTCTCTGTGTTTCCTCTATCCAAAATTTCTATATTATCGAAATTGAATGCGTGTCCATAATTATTGACAGTCATTGAAATGAGTGATGAAATGTTGTGGTGTTTAATAGCCAATTGGTGTTTATGTAGACGAAGGCGAAGAGGGCGGCCGCTTTGTCCAATGTAGTGTTGACTACAGTTAATGCAGTTGATTTTGTCAATGACATTCGGTTTGTCTTCTTCAACTGTTGCATCCTTTGGTCTACATATAAGTGTTTGAAGGGATTTTGTTGGTTTATGAGCCACATCAATTCCAAGTGGTCTCAGCAATCTTATCATGATTTCTGATACATTCTTTATGTATGGTAGGACGATGCGTTTGTTGTTTTCTGTCGATGACTTTGTAGTTGATGATGCACGGGATAGGCATCTTCGGATAGTTTCATGGGTAGCCGTTCTTCTGTGGGGTGGACATCAAGTAATTTTCTTCGTTTCTCCATGAAGTTGTTGTGCTACAGTGCAGTGTGTTCTCTCCCTTCTGAATGGAGTGTGCAGGCAACTGATTTTGTGTGTTGTTGGGTTGTTGCTATTGTAGCTGAGGATTTGGTCAGTGTGTGCTGGCTTCCTGTACACTTGGGCTTCCAGCTTTCCGGCATTCGTCCTACTGACTAGAACATCCAAGAATGGCAGTTGATTGTGTGACTCTTTCTCCATTGTGGATTTGATGTCATTGAAAACGTTGTTGATTAAACTGTGGGTGTTTTTTATATCATTTTTCTTAATGGTGACAAGTGTCGTCCACATAGCGAATCCAAATTTTTGGTTTGATCACAGGTAGAATAATGGATTCCGGTCTCTGCATCACTGCTTCTGCAGTTAATCCGAATATCGGTGATCCCATTGGAGTTCCTTACATCTGTTTGTGTATCTTGCTGTTGAATTGAAAGTATGTTGTCATACAAAGGTCGATGAGTTCCATCAGACTTGAACATTTATGTTTTGTGCTTTCTGTAATGCTTGTGTCTTCACTGAGCAGGAGATATATAGTTTCCTTGGCCAATTAGTGTTTGATGTATATGTACAGTGCTGTCACATTGAAGGATATCGTTACCTCGTCATTTTCTATGTTAATCCTTTTGATCTTTTCCAAGAATTCCGTTGGTGACTTGATGGAATGTCCTCATGATTGGACGAGGTGTTTCAGTTCTCTTGATAAGTTATATGTTGGACTTCCCGGAAGTGAGATTATTGGTCGCAGAGGAACCATATCGTCAGAGCAAGCTACTAAATCATTCACGGAGAGATATTGACAGCACACTTCATACTAAAGTTAGTGTTAATGATGTCGTGTAGCAAGACGATGAAAGCTTCACGATTAAACAACCCAGCTCAGAGAACACAATGCAACTAAGAAATATGAAAATATCCAACCAGAAACGTTGTACTGATGGTTATCAGTTACCAGCAGTCATAAAGAGGATGTGCAATCAAACGTAACCACAAGTGAAGTCTTGCATACCTTAGTGTCACTCAGTTTGGCATACTCAACTCAATACAACAGTTGACAAAGAATTCAAAGGATAAAACATGGTAACACAAAAATTCAACACGAGATCAAAGCTTCAAAAAGCATTTGAACGAATCAATTCATCACATTTTATTGAAACTTACACATTTTAAGGCTTTTATGTTAAAAGAGTTCTGAATAGGATGAAATACACATTATGCATTCCATTGTTGGCTGCCACCTATCAAAATGAACACAACTGTTCATCATCGAATTCATGTGATTACTTATTATGTAGGTTTCCAGAGTGAAGAAGTAATTGATAGGTCAACTGAAAAATTCACTCACTCAATTTTACCTCTCCACTTCTTCAACAAACATTTCTGTTACACTGACGTTTTCAATGTACTCCAAATATCATAATGTTTTACAGAATCGAATAAATCTCTAGTGCTCCCAGTTTACAGATTACAGATTACATTGTCGAAATTCCTTCAGGCTAATGAATGTTCATTACAGCATTACGAAAATGGAGGAAATTTGAAATAACACGTTGATAGATTTCAACTGAATAACAAAGAACAACGGTGCTTATTTTGAGAATTTGAGGTCAAGCGTTCGACCGTGTAGATGAGATGCGATACTCACTTCGAAAACTCAAGGAGATATTAGTCATATTCCCTGTATCGCTTAATGGCTGGTCAGGTATGATATAACTTACACTTTACCAAGCAATCCTAATATGTTTACTTCTCAGTGACTTGGAAGTATTTCCTCCTCGTTTGTTGATGCATGATGAATGCATATCCTACCACATTCATCTCGAAAATTCTAATCCCAATTCACTATCAATCTCCCAGCTTTCATCTAGGATCTCATGAAACGGCAGTCTGTCACAATGACTGTCAAACTAACTCAATGATTATCGTCCTTCTTGATATTGTGGCTTTCTTGCACCTGAACAGTTTATTTGTGAAGCTGTCTCTGTTTCTGTGGACACCATAGTCAGTATTAGTTTGGGTATGGCATGATTTGTCCAGGTTTTTTTACCAGAGTGATTAAATAGTCTGTTCTGAAGAGGTGGTGTGTGACTGGTGACTTATTTTAACTGTCCTTCCATTCACTGTAAATAATTGCGCATTAGGTTTCACTCTGTCTAACCTCTGATCGTGTGGTTTGGTATCGTTCTTCGCATTAATTAATATTGTTAATTTGTGTCTGAAATTCACACATCAGCTCAGCATGTTAGTCCGTCTGCCTGACCATTCACTTCTTTCTGAGGTTCATGTTGACAGAGTTGTTTCTCAAAAGACTAGAAGCATCAAGCTCAGGAAATGTAATCACACTGAGATCATCCATTTGAACTACAGGCGTTTTCTATCACTTCATGACTGTCTCTTACTATTCAACGTTTTCAGTATGAAACAGCACACATTAGTCTCTCCATTTCATTGTTTTCTCTCTGAGATTTTTAACGTGTTTCAAGCTAACTGACAAATATCCGCAGCTTCCCTCTTGGAATTACACTTCTTGCCTCACCACATCTAACAATAAATGGAAGGGAACTAAGTGTATGTCACTGACGTGTCCAGTACAGCAGTAAAAAATAGTGTCCATATAATTGATTTGTATTTTTTACTCTGTAATTCAGTTAACGGAAACCATTGTTAAATCATTAAGTTTATCCTGAAGATTTTTCTCATCAGCTTCAGTGAGTCCCATTGGTTGGTGTTAAGTGGTTAAGGTTCCGAGCCTGATGGATGAACTCAGTGGGTATAAAGAACAGGTCTCACAGAATTCA